TCTTCGAAAATAAATTAAAAAAAAAAATCCCGATACACGTGTTCGCTTATTTTATACCTACAATTGGTAAAAAAAGTTTGAAGCGATTTAAAAATGTCGGAAAAAAAAAGTGTTCGGTTTGTAAAAGAATGCCTCATATGTTGTTATAAAAAATCAAGACCATTAACTTATTCTAGGTCAGCAAGTAATATTACAAACATAAGTGTGCAATACCTCGTGAAGATTATCGTATTTCAAGATACTTCCCAGACAGCACAAAATATTAAAAGATAACGAAAAGAAGTCTTTTTTAAGTTGTCTTCTCAACAAAGCGAAAATCGTCTAAAGGACGACGAAAAGACATTGTTTTTAGATTGTCTTTTCAGCAAGACCAAAAGATGTCTATAAAACATATTTTGGTTTTGTCGAAAATACAACTTAAAAAGGACATCTTTTCGTCATCTTTCTATGGTTGTCATTTTCGCAAAGCAAAAGGTCGACTGAAAGATATCTTTTTGTATTGTCGAAAAGACAACATGAAAAAGATATCTTTCCGTTATTTTGATACTTTTTATCATTCGCGAGCAATGCGCGAAATCGCCACCAGATCCCTGATGAAAATAAAAATCACAGCGTAAGTCGAATGTAATGGGAGCGTAACAGAAACGTAAACGAAACTTCTACGAGATGAAAATACAGCAACTCTATAATAATAATGTCTATATATAGATATCGTAAAACGCTATTGTATTACATCACATCACACAAGTCGAGATCCTAAATATATTATACACTTACATCAGTAATAACCGGCACGTGTAGTTCATTTAGTGCGAAACACAACAGCGTGTTCGTTTGATAAAATTTATTAAATTCTCTATAAATTAATTGGTCCTGAAAAGGACCGTTTTTATGTTTACAATTTATGTGGCCCTGAAAAGGGCCGTTTGTGGCAAAAAACTATATTAATCTTTCTCTGTAAAAGATTGTCGGCTTGGTCTTAGTAAATCTCTTCGGTCCCCAAAGTCTCCTTCGTGATAAGTCGAGAGAGTAGGATCCAGGAGGTGAGTCTGGTGGTGTGTAGCTTGTTGGTGATCCTGGTGGTGTGGATGTTTCCTTCTGCGATGTGAAGTCGCTCTGCGTTTCTCGGTGGACTACCGTAGGTCGGCTCAGCGTTCCTCGGTGAACTCTCGGAACAGGCAGGGTCTGCGTTGCCTTCGTAGAGAAGTTACTCGGAGATTTCGGTAGCCGAGACAGGAGTGGCGGTGGTGCTGAATAGCTAGGAAACAGAGGTCTCCTAACCCTCGGGTCGTTACTGGCCGGGAGGAAGCTCGGAGGTCTTGTGAGAACCGGCGAAGAGATCTTCTCCTTAAGTAGTCGCCAGATCATTGGAGGGGATGTTGATTTGCCCTGTTGCTTGGTTACCGTTGAATTACTCGGTGTAACCTCTTGAATCTGTGACGGCTAGCTGGATCTCGCTAAGGAAGATTTCTTCCACCAGGGAATTATCCGTAATCGACGAGAGATAGACTCCACAGTTACACCACAAAAAGGATGGTACTCTTGCAGTATGTTGCAAGAGACGAAATCAAGCCGTTGGCCATGCCTTTATATAGCCGTTCAGAGTTTTTCAGAATACGAGAAGATCTGCCGAAATGCGCCTTCTATTAATTTCTTGAGAAATTAATTTTTTCCGAATCACTTCAAGTAGGTCTTGGAAACAAATGCATCCGCATGAAGTTTGCTTCGTTCGAGTTTTTCGAAATATGTATGTGGTGTCAAATAGACCGCCACACTCTCCAATTACATCCGATTTATGCTCCGATTTTTATTTTCATCAGGGATGGATGTGATGGAGTTCAATTTCTCGTATTTGAAAATCGTACAGGACAGAATAAAAGGTGCAGAATAATAAAAAATTTTACTCGTGTTCTAATGAACTCTAATAAAATATTTTTTTGTGTAATCGAATCCCCAAAGAGGACTATATGAAGATAATAACTCTTGCACATAGGACACGACAAACATTGGAAGAAATGGGATGTATATTGTCAGTCATGTTTTAATTATTATTGTCAATTTATTGTATTTCGTTTTGTATAAAAATTAATTTAGGAATTCGATGTTATTAACCGTTATATTGTATAATCAAAATATAAAAATTAAAAGAAGTATTAAAGATGACTATAAAAGATATCCAAAGAAGTCATCCTTTAATTATCATACGAATATTCCCGGATACACGGGCAACAGCGCTTTGACACCGAACGCGCCGCTGATTAATGAAAAACGGGTAATAGAGGTAAACTTTATTCTCACGATCGACTTTTCATCAATCAGCGTTCGGTGTCATTGCGTTGTTACCCGTATGAGGATCTGGACTTAGGGCGACTGTTACCAACGCCGATTAACTTAATCGACGATTAACTCAATCAGCAATATGTAGTAAACAGCAAGACTGTATATCGTTCTTAATCTTATCTCTTTGTGATTTACTTCTATCTCTGCGTCTCACTTAATTGTGATGAAAGTAATGAAAATCTTCTATCTATAAAAGTAATTCTGCTGATTGAGTTAATCGTCGATGAAGTTAATCGGTGTTGATAACAGTCGCCCTTATATTAGACTCTAAAATGACTAGCAGTGCGGCATCTGTCGTCTTTTAATCATCTTTTCGTAGACTATGTTTTTTCACTAAAAGATGTCTTTGTAACAATTTAGTCGTCTTTTAGTCATCTTTTAGAGGACTTTGTGCTCTCTGGGTTTGTTAATTACTTTGCCAGTTATATTTAACTTTCTTTTTCTTGTTTAAAAAAAAACCGTATTACCTTAAGTAGGAGAAAACGAATTAAATACCCAGCAAACGAGAAATTAATGAAAAATGTTGAAAATTATTCATTGAAGTGATGTCGAATCAAGTTTTTGAATTTTTTAAATTATTTTCTATCCGTAATTCGCTTGAATCAGTAATTATGGATTGGTTATTTACTTTCTGTATCTCATCCAATGTGCATACACTGTTAGAAATTTCTCAATGAATTTTAATTAACATGTAAAGGAAGCATGTGGTTATGCACGAAATTAAATGTAATGAATGATGTAAATAAAAACTAAATTACAGTAGTCTTAAATGTGATGAACGTGTGTATTGAAATTAATGAACACATTATTATAGAAATTAATTTACACGTTAATGAAAAGTACGAGATCTGTAACTGAAAAGTAATTTACGTTAATGACATGTAAGAAACGTAAACGTATTAAACGTTAAGCGTTAATAGTATTAGGCTTAATTAAAATATTATTAATATTCGTAAATGTAAAAGTACATTAAATTTCAATACGCTTAACTTAAAAGTCTTAAGCAAACTTAAATTTCATTAATATGTACATTCGTAGTTATTTCAGTAGGTATACTAGGAGGGTTCTGATCCACGGGGGCTAGAGGGAGGCGCGGGGGGTACTCGTAGGCGCGAGGCAGGAGGGGGAAGGCG